ATGGGAACTGTAGTTTATTGTGGCACCAGAACTCTCTGACATAGAAGGTTCAATATCTCAGGAAAAAAAACTACAGTTCCCATGATTCCCTAGCATTTAGCCAGGGCAGTTAAAGTGGACTCAACCTGCATTATTTCTGGCAGTCTGTAATGGCCCAAAGTGGTCTCAAACTGAATTATTATTTTTTCCGTGTGTTTTGGACCCAGTTTAAGCATTTTAAGCTGGGAATCCTCCTTTTCCCCAAAACTGGGGCTCAAAGCAGCTCACCATTTACAAGAAAACATAACCAAAAACAGAGCATTAAAACAGGATGAAACTATTTGCAGTATTAAAACAATTGATACTTCAATTTAAAAAATCAAATGGGATTTAAAATGTTCTTTAAAGGCTCATAAAACACGCCTGACAAAATAAAATAGCTTCCCTTACCCAAGCCTGTCCTTTAGATTTTGTGCCTTCAAGTCGTTTCTCACTTACAACGACCCTAAGGCAAAGTGAGAGAGGGATTTTGCCTTTGCCCCCCCCCGAGGCTGAGAGAGTGTGACTTGCCCAAGGTCACCCAGTGGGCTTCCATGGCTGAGCAGAGATTTGAACCCTGGTTTCCCAGGGTCCCAATCCAACACTCAAACGACCACACCACACTATTTAAGTACTTTATGCACCTTTACAGACTGCCAGGAATAATGCAGATTGAGGCCACTTTAACTGTCCTGGCTCAGTGCTAGGGAATCATGGGAACTGTATTTTTTTTCTGGGACATTGAGCTTTCTCTGTCAGAGAGCTCTGGTGCCACAATAAACTACAGTTCCCATGATTCCCTAGCACTGAGCCAGGACAGTTAAAGTGGCCTCAAGCTGCATTATTTCTGGCAGTCTATAAAGGCCCTATGTTAAAATTAGATTATTTTCTGTTGAATTAGATTGTCTTTTGTTCAGATTTCTGGAAAAATACTGATATTCACAATTATATTTGCTGAATTTCTTGAAAAATGTGGCTCAGTCAGTGACATAATCACATCAGTCAGAACAATAGCATGCAGAACATTGTGCAGATAATTTTTTTAATGCCAGCTTTTTCACTATTTCATGTATTAAAACAGAATAATCATTTTAAACCGGGGTATATTCTAAAACATTTCAAGTAACAGGATCCTGATGATCAGCTAAAAGGTAAAGGTAAAGGTATTCCCCGATGACAAGGGACGTTATCACACTTGCAGCAAGAGAGCGGCGAGAAA